GTTACGAATTTCTCTTGACTTGGATTCATCCACTATAACTGTAGCTGCATGTGGGCAGGCACATATTTATAGCAGCGTAGCAAAAGCAAACACAGTTTGCTGCAATTATGAAAGTGCTGACCAGTAGCTCGCTCTGTGCAGAGGAAGAAGATTCGCATTTAAATGAGCTGGAATTAATAATATCCAATCTCAGGAAACGGGCTGTAGCTGAGAATCGGACCAATTATTATGACCACATAATTATTAGTAAAGCAAAATCTGTATTCACAAAGTAAAGGTTGTCTCATGTTCATTATTATGCATTTTGTTAACGCTTTATTCACCCTTGTTGCGCTTTGTGTGCTTTGGATTGTTTGCTCCAGCTAACCGGTTGAGTCTGAAGACCACCGGAGACATTTTCTGTTGGCACCTACTGATCAGCACCACGGACAGCAGCCGAATCTGGAGGACGGTTCAAATGACACCAATGGATTAGTAGACTTTTGTTTAACATGATATTATGGATTCAGTTCAAAGTGGATATCGTACAAAGGTCCATTTCTAACAACCCATCAGTGTTAACCTTCAGACCACTAACATGCGTCTTGGAGCATGCGTGAGCACCGAGACGCATCGTGGGTTCTTTGTCATCCGAGAACATTCTGAATCACGCTTTCTTCCAATCATTTTATCTTCAGACTGCGCACGACGTGCCGCCCTCAAAAAGACTGCCAGCCCGACACACAAGCAGACCGAGACTTCAGAAAAGAGAATAGATAAACAAATGAAGAAAGAGAAAAAGCAAGAGGTATTCAGCACAAACATACACCATCATCCTCCTTCACCGTGACCCTTCTCAACGCTTCAAATACCGCAGCTTCACCCGAAACGTTGACGCTCCGCCTACCGTCTCACACACACAAGGAGCCCCGACCAAGCCGCTGTTTTCTACGCACCGTTGGTCACGTAGTGCTTTCACTGTCAAACACCAACACCATGTTACTCTACATTAGCACCTTTCACAATAAAAGCCCCAAACATTCAGCGCAACACAGTCTCATAGCAAATAGGTTTTTAATCAGAGTTAAATGGATTCTCGACTAAAAACACTAACAAATTGTAGCACTTAAATTTTACTTGTAATGGCTTTTGTCTGTAGCAAGTTGTAAACCGGCATATTTAATGAAATTGCACTTTCTTGTTTCTTGTTCTTTTGAGTTTGTATCCTTTATGAAATGACACGTAATGTAATTTGTCATACGGGTACATGAAATCCAGCGTTCTGATTGGTTGAGAGTGAGTCACGGGGGGGGGGTGCATCATTCAGCGATAATGTACAGTACCTGTTCCCATTGACCCGATCGTTTCATATCACTGCGCACTCAAAGTAACACGTTAGATTTTTGCGCGACCGTTAGTTGACATTTCAGTTTTTAGCTCGGTGGCGATCGCCGAAAAAAGACCGAAAACACCTCAAATGATCGGTTTGGGGCGATGCGAGCTTTCGCAAACGGACAATTCAGGTGGCCGTCATGAATGAATGAGATGGTGCGCGATCTGGCAAGGAGACCCAATGCTGTTTACAAGCACATACGGGGACTATTTTCCTCTCAACTACCGAAATGCGAAACACAACGTTTGGTGGCTAATGCTAATTTGTGCTGAGAGGCAGTTATTTACTTACTATTCATAATTCCACTGGTAACCGTATTATAAAAGCAGTAAGGTACTTGAGGCAGTACTTCATCATTAATAATAACAGTTCGGGCGTGCTGTTAGGCCCGACGCGCAGCGGAGTAAAGGACATGTCTCACGCTCAACTAGTGGAAAATTGTGGCCGACAGATATTGGCAGAGCAAATAATAGAGGCTGTGATTGAGACCATTCTCCTGAAGGGTGTCCGTGAAGGCTGCCAAAGAGCTAAATATTGTGTCTCACTTTCCAAGACCAAAGCTGTCGGTTTTCAAACGTCCTGACTCGTAATCTTTAAGTTAGACGGACGCGGCTTCTGAGGGCATTAGTGGCTTTCTTCACCGTTCATTAAGTCGTTTTAATATATTTTCTCTTCTCACCGGCTTACAGCCGGCAGAGCTAAAACCCCGACAGCCCACGATTCAATGTCGTTTGTTCAATCCAGTCAGTAAATCAGAGGAAATGATGTCGTCTGGCAGCTTATTGAAGTGGACTGTCGACAAAAATATGTCTTGTGTTGTCAGACGCGGAACGTCTCAACTATGAGGCGCTTTTCACCACTCCATCCCTCCCGTAATGAAGCCGTTTCCACATCTCAAGGTTCCCTTTTTTGCTTCAGCCTCCATTCTCACGAATGATGGCCGAGTCGCTCCACACCTGCCTGCGTCGCTCTTCTGTATCGCTCGCGCGCACCTACGCGCCTGTGAAGGCGAAGGGGAGCAGTGTAAAAGTGGAGCAGTGCTATTTTACTGGCTACGGATGAAGTAATGAGCCTGGTTAATGTGCCGCCGCTGTACCTCGTATTCCCCGCAAGACCCTCCGTGTCCAACAGGCTTTTATTGATGTTCCTCCCACTGTGCAGGAGATGGCTGCCAAGGGATTTGGCAAAGCCGAGTGCCACTGTTAATCCCACTTTAAAGTTATAATTCTTAAGATTTTGGTCCCGGTCGACTTGGTAACACCTCTGTTAGACCGCAGATGTAGTTCAATATGACAGGTGCTGGAAATCTGGGGGCGGCCAACACGTGTCAAGCAGCTACTTTGTCTGTTTTACATATGTTCTGTTAATTAAGACATCAGATAATAATTGAGCCATCGTTTCAAGCCACACACTTGGAGCCTGGCGAAAATATATCCTACACGGCATGGTCATTTATTTAAAAAAAATCAGATTATCGTACAATAATGGACATTTTTGGGGATGCATGTTTTTATTTTTTGGTCACAAATGTATTTATCCTTTTAAAAGGTTCCGTTACTCCGTGTAATGTTCGAATGCATAAATAAAAAAGGCTTTTCCTGTTGTTGTTTTTTGAGGCGCTAATCTGGGCGACAAATGCATTGCGTTTGCTGTGGAGGCTTCCAAAATAAGAGCATTAATGTGAACAAGCAGCGGTATGTTACAGCTCCAACACTGCAGTGGGAGAGCGAAAAGTTAACAGTCCAGCTGATTAAACGAGATAAAACTGCACCCGGTGACGCTGAATGAGACGGCTTGTATTTTCCTCCCTCAGACCCAGGCAGGCAATTTCTGAAAATTGAATGGCTGCGCTCTGTGTTGTAAAGCGTAGCCATTACTCGAATTGAATCGTGCACCTTGGCAATAGAGGAGCTCCGTTAATCATTCCGTACAATATGTTGACCGGTGAATGTCTCTTCATAATTAGCGGTGGACGACTGCAAATGTGTCCGCGAGCGCGCCCGCTGCTCTAATTGGCATTGTTGCTCCCGATGTTCCCCGCGTGAAACTCCCACAGGTCCCAAAGTAGTCGTCACTGCTGCTGAGCTGCTGACAAGTGGGGAAAGGTGAGGGAGGCAAAGACAGCAAGGTGGGGGAGGTGGAGGGAGGGGGGAGACAAAATAGAGTATAATCACATGACCTCTGCATAGTCTACCGCAGTGACAGCGAGCACCGCGGGTGGGGAGTCAGACAGCCACAGCGGGAACAGCGTTGCTGCACTGCAGCACGGAGCGTACACATGTCGACATCTTGAAAAGGGAAATGCTCCTATTTAGATCATGCAAATTACAGCAATAAAAGAACATTGTTTTTAGAAACCCATGCGGCTAAATGACAGATCTATAGTTAGTTATGAGTGGCTGAGGCGTTGTTGTTTATTTCTTCTCAGATGACAAACGCTGCTTTTTTTTTTTTGTAACTGATTCATGGCTTTTTTATTTATAGTATTTAAAGATGGAAGCTCATTTGATCCTGATTGTGTCTCCAACTGCTATTTGTGAAAATGAGAGTACAAATAATGAATAAAGCTGCCTGACATAGTCTTTGACAACTTAAAACCACAAAAACACTCCCAGCAGCCCGTGCGTATGCCATATGCCGTCCTAGGCTCGACATGTACATACGATCTGTGTGGGATTATTTCTAAACCACGCAGGTTCCTCCGGCGATGTCCCAGGTGTGGCTTCGCTGTGACCTTTGACCCGCAGTCGGAAGCCTGGGCAGGAGAAGAGCTGAGGTGTAACTCTTGAGCACACATGCAGCCACAGGGGCTGTAAAGGTCTCCCGATGGAGTCCATTTTCCTGCCAACCGTCCAATGTAAAGCAGCCATTATAGTCATAATTGAATAAATGTCTCTCCTCCACTTTGCGCTTGGCAGGTAGTTTGTTTGAGCTGCACAACGTTTAATGGCGGGGGGGGCTGGTGATTAGTGCCGTTAGTAGTGAAATCACATGTTTAGGAGAATCACAGCGTGGAGCTGTGAGTAGGTAAGTAAATGGACATGAAGGGGATTGGTACAGTCATATATCAAGACCAGTCACCTCCCCCCGCTGCTTGACCTTTCTGTCCTCTCCGTCTCAGAAACGACCCCCACCGCTGAAAAGCAGCACGTTTTTTATTTTGGGCCACCTGAGAAATCTGCTCGCTCCTCCGGCAGCTCTAATGCAGAGAGACGCAGGACGCCGTCTCCGCCTTCTCCCACTAATGTGCCTCGCGCAGGCCCACCGGAGCTCGGCCGCACCGTCGAGCCCCCCCCCTCACTGGAAAGACCAAGTGGTCCCAAATAACGGCGAGGATGTTCGCCGAAGCCCCGTTTGTGTCCCTCTGGAGTCGGGCCCGCTAATCCAGCTTACATCCCCGCGCTGGAGGGCCGCGGGGCGAGTCCGCCTGTCGCGCTCCAGGAGAGCGGCCGCTGCTTCCCGCGGAAGGGAGGGGGCGGGGGGGGGGGGGGGGGGGCCCCAAGGAGCAAAAATTTTGGAATTTCTACCCCCCCCCGTTGGAACAGGGCCCCTGCCGGGGCGAAAAAACGCGCTCATGGCCGCGCCGTTGTCGTAACCCAGCGCTCCTTTTCTGATTTGTCGTTGGCAGGATTTACGAGCGGGTTATCGACCCCCCCCAGATGGAGCTCACCCCGGGCAGCGGAGTGTGGCTGGGCCAGCACAGCCACAAGCACGGGCTGTTCAAGGTAAGACTGAGACACGCACACATGCACGCACGCACTGAGGGGGGGCCGCACCGAGGGGGGGGCCTACGAGGGCCCTCGTAGGAGCCACAATAAGCCCAGTGAATGCTTGGAGGCGCTTATTCCCCCGAGCTCGCTCCCAAGTTTGTCGGTTTTTAATCACCGCTCATTCTCTCAGGCTCCTGCGCTGCCGGCTCCCAGCAGCGAGGGGAGGTGGCAGCGAGACATTTACACGGCCCCTGATGCCTCCGCCTCTCCCGCTCCGCCACCGCGCAATCAGTGGGACTCTCTTTGTCTAACGTCTAGGCAATATTTATTAGCCAGCGGCCCCCCCTGCGGTGTACATCATTTATCCTCCCCACGCGTCGCAGTATCGTTTTACCTCGGCTCACTCTCCCTTTTCACGAGTTGCCCGCTGACAGGCGCAGTTGTAAAACATTGAGTCAAGGACCTGTTGTTGCATTTTATCAGAGGGGCCACATTGAAATGAACAAACCTGCTGTCTGTCTTTTTTATTTATGATATAGAGAATATAGATATAGAGATATAGAGAATATCATAAATAATAAAAAAAAAAGATAGACACTAGCTTTGTTTCAATTTGTGCCCACTTTGCAAAATTCTGCAATAATTTACGTGGAAAGATAAACAGATGATAAACATTATCAACCGGGTGTGAAGAAGCAACATTTCTGACATTATGCCAATGTATCGTTTTCTTATTTAATCCGAGTTGTAAAAAACATTCACGTTGAAACACACTGATATATATATATATATATATATATATATATACTATACATACATACTTTATCTGCTGACTGACAATGTAGATGTTATGGTGCCCGTGGTTAATTAGCGGGGGGGGGGGAACGCCTACAACCACCTTGAATAAATAACACCTTTTATCTCGTGTGCTCAATCCGCACGCAAACGGAAATGTAAAAATAACGAGTCGTGGCTTAACAACTCGAGTTGTGTGCGCTACAGTCTTATTGTGCAGTGCTCTGAGGAACACACACGCACACACACACACACACACACACACACACACACACACACACACACACACACAAAGAGAAAACCGATACGGACGGATACAAAACCTCTTCCTATGAGTCTTCCTCACCTGCTCCCGTCCACCTGCTGGAGGCGATAAGTAAAGACTACACCCGAGAAGGGTGGAGGACACGTTGGATAATGAGATAAAAGAATAAAGAGGCGAAAGAAGTACCACTGCAGATGGAGATGGGAGGCGCAGCTGTAATCCATCCCATTCAGGACTCTACAATGAGCTAACCAGATCCTTCGCAGGGGCTCGAGACGCCGCCTCGTCCCGGGAGCCTCTCCAACCTAAGGAGCCGGCGTAATAAACGATCTGCATCTTGAATCCATTGTGCCCGAGGATTGCTGACTCCTCGGGGGCGAGCCGGTGCTTTTGTGGAGGGCTGGGCGTTTTCCTGCACCGCGGGACGGTGATGAATCCGCTGCGGACAACGAAGAAAAGCTCCGACGCGTTTACGTCAGGCGGCGTGACGAAGGAAGAGCCCAACGCGGCTCGGATCTCACTCAATCGCCCCCCTTCTCTCTCGGCGGACGACTCCTTTGTTTCCCTGATTGTTTGAATCAGTTTTCATTTATTTTCACTTCAGAGGGGAGCGTCATCCACAGCGCAATCTCCTGCAAACCTCCATCAGTAGCGATCCACTGCAGTGGGGATAATAACCTCATTGCTAAAAGTACTATCTGCATATTAAGGAATTCATTTCAAATGATGTCTTAAGAGCTACACTTTAAAAAGCTGTATGTTTTTCCATTGATTCTGTGAGACGCCTTTTTATAGCGGTACTCAAGTATGATTATATACATTTACCCCTGAATGTAGTGCAGACAGGCAATGGGGGGCTGTTGTATAGATGTTTGAATTATTTAGTTTCAATAAATGTATATTTGCTGTTTGAATCTGTATTTATTAAATAAGTACGACTAAATTCTTCTTTTACTTCAGCGCAACGTTGGCCATCATTAGCTTGTTGATTGTAAAGTTTTGTTGTGTTCAAAAATGAAGAAACGCCGGACGGACAGAGGTCATCGCTGATCAAAAGGTTAAATCAAATGTATTTAATAAAAGAGATGGCGTTGTGGTAAAAAGAACATCTCAGCTGAGGAGCCGCTGGTCTCGGCCACCAACAGGCCCCAGGTCAGTCCTTTGACCCCCCCATAGTCCCCGTCTGTCGCCTCCACCAGTGAACTCGAGAACAATTGTTCCTACAGGTATTTATACCAATGCTTAAAGGTGTGAAAGTCAGTGTCCACACCTCTGGGAGTCTTCTGGTGAGTTCAATGTAACTCGGATTTCGAATGACCCTTAGTCAATATCAGTTGTTGTTCAAGTATTACATGCATGCATTCAGGTTGATTACATTACATTAAATACAATCATAACTGTACATTGGTATTATCCTATTACAGTTGCAGAATTACAGTGGTTTTACCATATTGTCATTACTTTATTAATTACACAGTTTCAGAATCATAGCTGTATTCTGGTTGGACACAATATGCATTTTTATTAATTTTATGAACCTGATTGTCAATTTGTTTCTAATATCCTACAGTTTCTATCCTTGTTATGTTAGGAAGTATTGTGTCAATTTGATACCCAGTACCTCAGATTTCTACCCACTCTACTTTGTTTATTTGTGTATTTGGACACAGAAGAAACAACGTGTTGGGTAAGAACTGACTTGGGCTTTTGTAGAAGTCCGATGTTTGCCTGGAATCAGCGCCGGAGAAAACGAAAATATGCTAAATAAAGGCCACTAAAATATTCTCCTGCATCCTCTGCATAGAACTCATAGACTGAAATCACAGAGACAAAAACAAAGGGAGAAAAGTTTTCATACGCCGCTTGGCAATTGAAATTCTGTTTTAATGTGAACTCTGCGAAACTTAACCAGAATGAATAAAGAACGTACCCAAAAGGTTCAGCTTCATCCGACTTGGAAAAAAGAACCACAAGCGCAACTGCTCATAATGTGCATTATCAGTCATGACATGTTGAATTTGTTTTCTGTTTTGCTGCAGCTGTGCGACTAACCAATAGCAGCTGTTACTTCACAGTGAAACGCTTTTGAAAGCAGAGTAAAAATCTTTGATCTCAGTTTGAGGTGCATTTAAGCCAAATAAAGTCTACGTGTTGACTTTTTTCGTCACTATATTGTGACAATTCCTCACCAACCAAGTTCAAAGTTCAAAGTATGTTGCACACTGCACAGAATGGTTGTGGATTGCATGGTAATGGCTGGTCTCCCTCAAATGGAGCACAGAGTCAATGTTTGATCCTGGTCATCGCAGTGAGGCTTGTTGCCGCTGGTTTTTGCTCCCGGCAGACGGAGCTGGAGGCGAAGTCCTCCGATCCGGCTGCACCATGTTGCCCATGATCAAATTGAGAGAATGGATAAAGCCTTATCCTAGATTATTATGACGAGCGAGCAGACGAGCCGAGGGAAGAGCATTTTATAACGGTGAGGGAACCCGTGAACGTTTGGGGACACAAAGGAACGAAAGAGGCATTAACCGCCCGTGCAAACACAAATTCACAGTGAGGAGCCTGTTTGGATGGATTCACCCCCTTGTCCCACCTCAAATCATAACCGAACCGTAAGGCTAATATGTACATTTTAATGTATTTCCATCTTTTTAACGTTAAAATTTGTTTTGCATTAAGTCATATTAGTCACTTCATAACAAACATTATACAAGATATCCATGAGACAAAGGTCATTCTTTTCAAGACATACCAATACTTTTAGCTCTTGTTTGGTCTCTTCCAACTCCTTAGAAAGAAGCTTTAGCTCTGGTTTTGTCCCTCTGCCGTCCTCAGGCAGTGAGGACACACTGGATTCATTCTAATCAATGAACCAACCAATAAAACCCCAAGCTGAGGTAAAACCGGGCCTTAATCGTCTCGTCTCTGTGGCGTCACCACTTTCAGGGACTACTTTTGCGGTCCTTCTCATTGTCTGCTGTAAAAATATTGATTAGTTCAGTTGTAAAGCTGAATGCACTTTATTCTTCTTCATCTCAAAGTACAAAGAGACAAAGCAGTAGAACACGTGTCGCTGTTCTGACTGTACGTGACTCGACATTTATTCCTGAAAAGTGCCGTTCAAACATGTCTGCCGTGGGCCTGGGCGGAGGCAGGAAACAGGTGTGTGTGTGTGTGTGTGTTGGAGAGATTGCATGTCTTCAGATTGAAATGACCTACTGATCACTGACAGGCAGGTGTGGGTTGATGTGTGTGGACCACTGGGACACACGTCTGTGATCCACACCCTCATTTTCATTCTGAGTGACACTGGCAATCTCTTCTTCACCAACCAGTGCTCACACAACCCGTGTGTGTGTGTGTGTGTGTTCTCAATCTGTGCTCCAAGCCTATTCTCTTCATGGTCCCCCCCCCCCCTCCCTTTGCCTCCCCATGCCTCTGTTTGAAATGGAGGCAGGTGTTGCTTGCATCCAGACCAGCCAGATACACTGTAAATGGGTTCTGTGTCTGCAGAGGAGTTGGGGAACTGTGCTTTTGGTGGTGAATTCTAATGTCGTCCCAGCAGGAGCCACTTTGAAGGACCGGTGAAGTGATCTGGCCCTTGTGTGTGAGCGCCCCCCGTGCTTTTTATTCCCCCATAGACAGGATGCCATTTTTATTTTTTTTTCTGAGATTGTTGTCTGTGGTCACGATGAAGGCCTCTATTTAGCAGCGCTGCAGCAGGGAGGCTGTCACTCACGGTGATTGATGAAGGAGGCAACTCGCTCCTTTTTTAAAGGCCAGTCTCTGTGCTGCGCACATTTTCTCCAGCGTCATTTGTTTTCCATTTTCAACTTCTGCAGATTTGGTTCTTTTTTTGAAGCATTTAATTGTTAAATGCGTTTATTAGTTATTGACAAAATAACATCTCAGAATGCTTTAATGTTTTTCTAAAATGAAGCACATGGTACAAGATCCTAACTGGCGAAGCTTGTGTTCACTTTATCCTGACTGTATTACAAGTAATGCGCCCCAAAAAAACAACCAATCAGAGCCAAAGAGACGCAGCTGTCAATCACGGCTTGCTGTGCTTTGCGCATTCCAATCAGACAAATATAATGATTCTTTTTAGTACTTTATTATTTCCCCCAGAAACACACTTCACTGTGCTGTTGCGCTGTAGAATTAAAGCGTTTGCGACCTGTTGTGTGCCGTTTAAATTACAATATGCCTTTGAAAACATTTGAAGTGGGAAAAACAGTCAAATATTCTTGAATCATTTCCGATCAGCGCCCCGTGTGACATCTTGATGAGCAGTGATTGTCCGCTCCGCTCTAATTGGTAGTTTCCCTTGCAGGTGTTGTAGAATTTTCTAGATGGAACCCTGAAAGGAGGCAGAGGAACCACAACACATAATGACAGTCTGAGCTAATATGACTTATTATTTTTATTTTTTTAAAGCAAACCCCGTGGTAACCCTTCCCGTCCCGCTCTCTGTCGTTGCAGGGCGTCATCCAAGATGTGAAGTTGATTTTTGCGCCGAATGGCTACATTACACAGTGTCCCAACCTGAACCGCAGTGAGTACCATGATTACACGGCGGTGCACGCTGTTCGCTCTGAGAGCACGAGGAACAATACAACGCCTCCCTTTTCTGTGTGCTGCTATTAAAATGGACTACAAAGGGCTACGTGTCAGCTGGTGGTGACCTCCGCCCCCCCCCCTTCGTTTTATCATCTTCCTCTATTCTAGCCATCTTTATTTCGCTGTCGATTCAGTGAGGCCTCCCGTCCCGCTGCCTCGTTTCTCCATCTGTTTACCGTCAAACAGATTGAGGACCCCTCCGTCCCACCGTCGCCGTGACCAATCAATAAGGCCGGTAATCACAGCGTGTCCCTTTTTGTTATTGATGCGAACGCCAGACACAAGCCTGAGACAAAGGGTTCAACACATTTGTGAGGGTTCCCTTTTGTTTGCTGCTGGTTGACGTGAGCTATTATACTATGGAGGCTCATATTGTTTGTTTATCTACTATCTAAATGCCTCCCTCTTGCTCTTCCTCCTCTTTTCATCCCTGTTTTGGTGCTTTTGCTTTCCTCCGTCGAGCCTGTCCGACCTGCAGCGATTTCCTCAGCCTGGTGCAAGGCATCATGGACCTGCAGGAGCTCCTGGCCAAGATGACCCTGAAGGTGAGACCGAGGAATTGACCTCCCACCACCGGCACCCCGGACGTTTGGCTCATAGTCAATGAACTGTATGGATCGTCACATCCAGAGAGCAGCGGGGAGAAAAGATTTGTACAGAATTAAAATAGGTCGAAGAAATAACAGATCTAGTCAAAGATGGGTAGAAAAGTATTTGTAATAGCGCCACCATCTGGCCAGCTGACTTCCATAGGGAGTCCAGAGCCATAAACCCGACAAAGAAAGAAAGGTTTAAAGATCTGCGTCCAGATGATTTTACGCGAGATGCTGCAGATAAAACAAAACTTTTAGGAACCATGTCAGTGTTAAATTAAAGAAAGTTAAATGAAAAGATCCACTTTTAACTTTCCAAATTGTAGCTGACAAGCAAATATATAAATGAAAGAAAACGTCCTTCTTCACCAGGACGGCAGGCAACGGAATCCTTTAATTGAATTGATCTTCATTGTAGTGCATTGTTCTTTTTCCTTAATACCTCATTTCATTTCAACAAAAGGGTGCCCTAAAAAAGATTCTTGTTATTGTTGGAAAACAAGCAAAATGAAGCCCTTAACCAGTCTTTAAAAATATGATTATGCTGTCTGTTGTGATTGTGAGCGTGGAATGAAGTGGTTTAAAGGAAGCATGGGAAAAGAGAAAAATATTGACTTGCACGTGAGAGGGAATCAACAAACAATTACAGGGTCCCAGAAGTCTTCATATTATCTTTTCTCATGGTTTTGTTGGTGCAATCCCTCGGGATTAGAGTGAGGAAACTGTTCCCACTCGTATCGTAACTGTCGAGATAAATGAATCATCGCTCCTTGAGATTGACAGCTGGGAAACAACCGTCGAGGGTTCGCTCTGCCTCACGCGGTGATGTGTACCTGCCTTCACGTCTCCAGTTACCTTTTTGCAGGCAAACCAGTGACCTAAAAGCATATTTAATATTTTTGCAGCGGCCATCGAGTTGCCTGCGCCGTCTATAGTTAAGCCCCCCCCGAGCGCGACTCGATGAAGCAAATTAAAAGTTGCTTACGTTATTGGTACAAAACCGAAATGATCTTGAACGTGCGCTGGGAGCATTGGAGGCCGTCGCAAGCAAGTTAAAGCTGCTGCGTTGTGCAAAAGGGCGAAATAACAAGAGTTTGTTCTCCTGAAGCTTTTCTCCTCATTACGCCGCCACCGATCAGCAGCAGTTTGCTCGGTTGCAATTGTTTAGCAGAAAAGGCCTCGAGTGTTTTGCTGTTTGGAGGGAAGTTGGGAGATTCCTGTGCTTTCATGCCAACTGAAGTAGGAAAGGAAAGAGGGATTAAGGGAAGGATGGGAAATGACGACACGTTTTATGAGCTCGTCTTGCGTTGCTCGACGTACAAACCGTACTTGAGTTTGAAGGTCATTCCCTCTGTGGGGTTTCGGTGTGAACAATGGCGAGATGATCCACGCAATGTAGCTTCGCAACCGCATTTTGGCGTATTGTGCAAGTTCTGTTCTTTTTTTTTATCTGTCTATATTGTATTTTGGAGTAATAAAGGAGTTTACTTAATTGCCCGTTCTAATAATCCCACTTGCATTAAGCTGCTCGTATGTATCGACTACTAGTGGCGCTGCACTTCTGTTTGCCTTTCTATTAGTGTGAATATTATTGTCTATTATTATCTGTAGTCTGCTTTAATACACGTCTCATCTCGTTCCCGTGATTACGCGTCGATGCCGTTCAACACTTGATCACCGTCTACGACATGAAGACATTTTATTTATTGAGATCCGCCCAAATGAAAGGTCAGCCATTCAAAATGTCTTCATCACTGTCATGTGAAGCGAATCAGCATCTGCTCCACAACGCCCAGGAAAAAAATGCACGGCTCTCCCCAGTCTGCCCCCCACCACCCCGTCTCCCCCTTCCCCCCCCCCTTACCCGGTGCTCCAAAGTGGAAAGGTGTCAGGAAATGGCAACCGCACGGACACAACAGGAGGCTAACAGGTGGTGTGCTTTGGGGCGGCGGAGCCACGGGGGACGTAACATCTGCATAAGTGCGTGTGTGTGATTGACTGTGTGCATGAGTGACTGCTCTCCGGCGGGAGCCGGCGGAGCAAGGACACCTTGGCGGGCGAGCCGTGGAATAACTTTGGGTTTAAATAAGGGTGAAATGAAGAACATTACCCCGCCGCTGTGCCCACGCGTCCTCCTGCACGTGAACACACCTCAAAACTATCGCCACCCGACCTCGTTTCGTCCTCCCCGCTGCGGCCCGTATGAGCAGTCATCTTTCGGCGGGAGAGATTTCAGTTATTCGGCGCGCCGGTGGGGGGTTGGGGGGTGCTTGGTCCGGAGTGTCGAGGCGGGGCGACAAGAACATTCGCACAGCACGGGGGAGCCGCACGTGTGGATCGTCTTTAAAGGGTCGGAACACCCAAGTTACAGAACACATCTCACGAAGTTTCTGTCGCTTAAATGATGTCAATATTATGGGTCAACTAAGTGCCATCATGTCCGTCATCTTCATGAACTGTGGATTTATACAAGCACCTTATTCATGCTCGAAGGCCCCGACACGGTGAAGTCCCATATCATGTTCCAGGCTCCCTGTTTATTCTTAAGCTATAAGCCATTTGCTTAGAATAGCTAGTTGAATTTACTAATGCATGCTTGGTAAAGATTGTCCTCCATTGTTGCTGCTCTGGATTCCCTCGTGTGAGAGCCATGAAAGCAGCTTTTCAGCCCATCCGGTAATAACAGAGAATCAGGGTCCGTGTGTGTGTGTGTGCTGGTTAAATGTTTGTTGTTGCAGAAGAGCTGGTTTTATTTCCCGGCATGTTGAACCCAAAGCATCTCGGCGCAGTTTGCACTCTGCATGCAAGAGGCCCAGTTCTGTGTTGAACCACTGAAGTTTGAACTATCCTTTAACAGAATTAGCAAAGCTACTGAAATAGATTGGAGTTGTGTTTGTTGCATTTAGGGTATGAACTGTATGAATCATAATGTGAATCAAACTCTTGTAGAAGGGTTAAGAACAAAAAGGAAAAGAACAAAAAACACTTTTAGTTTTGCTCTGAAACAACCAGAGCATCTCCTGGGACCTGCAGACCTGGAGACAATCGGGTCTGCAGCCTCACTGCTAGATGCCTCCAAATCCTGCCCGCCGTCCCTCCACAGCACATGTGCATGGCTGCAGCACCCTGCCTCAGAGATGTCATCAACAAGAGCCATCGCTGAAGTGTTGCAGCATCTACTACTATGAACTAACTACAAAGTCAAGCCCGCGGCGTAGATTTTCATCCCCAGAGTGCCGTTAACCCCACGTGTCAAGTTAAAGGTGCAGGTTCAAAAACCACGCACGCGCTTACCGCCCCGCGCATGTAAAGCCGGATTGATCGGCAGTTTTTGAGCTTTTAGATGAGTGTCAGCGTGCTTTTGTTTCATTGTCCTGAATGGAAACCCCGCGTGACAAATCCTCCAGACGTGCATGCAAGCGAAACGCATTAAAAAGGTGAGTCCTTCATCTTTTCCCTTTTGCTGTTGTTCTTGCGTGTCTCTGGCACATAGATGCCTATTAGCCTCCGACGGCTCCGTGTGATACTGCCGCGCCATTTGATGCTGGCGTTGCACAGGAGCCGTATTCCTCCGCGGTGCCTCCAGGCAGCCTCTCAGCCTTTGGAAGTGCATTTCAAACATTTTGTTTTGGGGGGGGGGGTTTGACAGGACACGTCTCTACCGCTCACAGCGCGCACGGATCTCCAGAAAGCAGCCGGCGCTCTTCCACATGAAGTTGAAAGCCTAAGTGACATCCAGCAATTTCCTTTTTTTATTTTTTTATTTTTGGTCTGTTGTGAGAAGCCTCTATCCTTCGAGCCCTCTCCTCCTGACTCCTCCGCGGCCCCGACAGGTCCCCGAAGGAGCAGCGTGGGCGGAGGAAGCGTGGAGGAGCGTTCTCCAGTGTCTCGAGTGGACCTGCGATTTCTGACTTGACCCGCGCGGCTCGGATCAATTGGACCTTTTGAATTCCCCCGACCTTCTTAGCTTACATGTGAACTGTTCTTGTTGTCGTCACCAGACAGCTGCTACTCAAAGCCCACAAAGGGCTTTCATGGATGTAGTGGCGGGTCTGCCCATTAAAACAGGAGCTGTGTTCAGCACTGCTGATCATATTTTATATATTTATAATACATGTATGTGGTTAGACTAAGTGTACCTTTGCATGCTGGATCGTTCAAATATCAGGTCATCATCAATTCATCTCCTTTTGATCAATCAACGTGAAGTTATCCAGCACCAGATTGAGCTAAACATTCGCAGCGACGGGGCGAGTGTCCCCATCCAGGTCCTTCTCGTAGACATCACTAGAGGAAGGACTTGACGCACCGGATGGAATAGAAACAGAATTTCTAGCAAACATGGTGGTTAAATCCTGGTTAAAGTTGCGCGGCGTCCGCGGGCCTCGCGGCCTGTGGCGCTTTAGTCCGTCAAAGACGCGTCACCTCGGCCCAAGTGACAACCGCGCCGAGTGTTGGCACGTGAAATAAGGAATAAGAAGGGGAGGGCGGATCAGCGTGTGAATTAAAGAGGAGTGAGGATGGCGGCTGTCACTTCTCAGTAGATTATAGCCCGAGGTCTGCAGCGTGAGCCGAATGACGATCACTTATTATTCTGTGCCCTTTTAATGAGCACCTCCCAGCGGAGGCCCTCAGTGAGAACCGACCCGGGTAGAAGGGGCGGGGGGGACTTGTGATTTGGTTTCTGTGACTTCCCGATTCCGTCCTCGTCTTCAGTTGAACTACGCGGAGTCTCGGCTGACCCAGTTGGAGGGCTGTCACTGCGAGAGGACCTGCAGCGCCAACAGCCTGGTGTACCGGGACAAGGAGCTGTGGGTGGAGCCGGAGAACTGCAGGAACTGTGCGTGCACGGTGAGTGTCACCTTCATGCGCGCGATCAAAGAGCGAGCCGCCCGCTTCTGAACTATCTGGCGCTTTCCATACGAGAGCAATCTCCATCGTAGGTCGGGTCAAGATGATTCGTTCAACCGAATGTTGGAGGCTAGACAAAGAAAGCAACAGGAAGGAGGAAGAAGGGACTTCTCGCTGAATGGAATCATGTGTGATACATGTTATTTGGAATTCTTACCTTTTACTATTAACAGTGGAAAGACAACAGGAAATCAGGCAAAATCAATAACTCAATAGTTCAGGCTTAAGAACCCTGGATTTTTCTTTTCCTGGAAGAAGCCACATTTATTTTTATTTAACACAGGATGGCTCAAATACAAGGCTAATAACAAAGATACGATGAAGGGAAATGCAGGCTGTCCTATGAAACCAAAACACCCAGTCAGCATCACACGTTGTTGGTGCATCACAGCAGGATCTTGTTTGCCTCAGAAAGGTCCCTCAAACTCTTCTTCCCGCCGCTCTCGGCGCTTGCTGAACTCCGTCTTCCCGTCCGACCTCCCTCGCTGGCAGTCCCAGCATCGTGTCTCCCTGCCTTCTGCCCGCCCACTAACAAGCGCCCCCCTCTAACCCCCTCCGCAACACACACACACACACACACACAAACGGCCTAATAAGCCTCCTTGCCTGCACTCATACATACTGCGGGAGCCAGACTTTGAAATGTGTCGAATCAGGCCGTCCCCCCGGCTCGGGGGGGAATTAGACTTGCTGCATCGTTGCCCGTCAAGCACAGGGTGGAGTTTAGTCGGCCCGATTTCCTCCCGTGGACATGCCATTAACTGATAACCGCCGCGTCCCTCGGGGGGAACCGTTTTTGATGACTCACCAAATGAGGAGGCGCTCGCAGAGAGAGACAGAGAGAGAGATATCAGTCCTTCAGGGCCGGAATAAGTACCTGCTATCAGCAGAACGCTCGCCATCCAGCGCTCGCATCCAACGCTCGCCATCCAGCGCTCGACAACCAACCTGTCAACTGAATCTTTCACATTACAATCTTTTTTTTTTTTTTTTTTCAATTCAAAACAATTGCATTCTTGAATGTGGGCTTCTGAACGGTTCAGCTTTTGAACAGGGGTTATTTTGCATGCCTCTTGTTCCTAAAACCTCCCACATTCGGGGGTTGAGCTGTAATGTAACTGGTGTTGATTAGCGCGCACACACACACCTATCGCACCTCATGTGTTACATATGTTAACTTTTGCCAGGCAGAGCGTGTTTTCATGTCTCAGTGAATTGAGACATGAAAAGAGCCGCGTGCCAGGTGTTGATTCTTTTCTTGCAGTCCTGCAGGCAGAAGCCAACGTTGACGGTGAGCGTTGGATTTGTGTGTCTCCGTTACAGAACGGCGTGGTGGAGTGTCGCAGGATCTTCTGTCCGCCGGCGAACTGCTCGGAGGACTGGCTGCCCGTGCACGTCGACGGCACCTGCTGCAAGAAATGCCGCCGTGAGTAGCGACGGCGCTCGGATGGAGGAGGAGGAGGCGGGAGAAACGTTCACACCCATTTTCTACCTAATACCGATCTAAAACCAGCACACGGCTAAGAATCATCAAAACCTGCACCTCTTTTGCTGTGTTATTCTCTAACAGCATTTTGGTTTCACCCCGATGCATGTCAATGGAGACTCTTTCATAACGTCTGACACTTAACACGTCAATCAGCCTGTCATTTGCAAAAAAAAAAAAACTTTTAGTGGACGTAAATAATCGGTCCAGTTTGCCCCAAAACCATCACGGCGCTCAGTTGTCACTTCCTTGCTGTTCTTTGATAGTAAGACAAAATAAGATTTCAACACCCACAAACGTTTGAGGACAGGGGTTAATGCATATTAAGATAAAGACCGGTCGTTTGCATAGAACTGAACTGGCCCTGCGTGGATGCTCAGCTTCACACCATTTAAAAGGTACCACTGCAACCAGAGCCACAGCAGATGCAAACAAAGGGAGAGGGGCTGCTGCTGCCGGTGGCTGCCGCTCCGCTGCCACAATAAAACCAAAATAAACCATCTGCAGGAGCCGAGATCACAAGTTGGTTTTCGTGGAAGCTGAAATGGAAGCTCTATTTCTAGTAGGAAGCACACTGGGGGGGTGGGAGGGGGCCTGGCAGCGGCTCACAGACCCAAAGAGAACAGCGTGTCTCTCGCTCTCTCGCTCTTTCCATACTGCAAAAACACTGAATCCCTCAAGGATAGTTCATCTTTTGAATAATTCCACCCCTCCTCCCTCCCTCCCTCCCTCTCGCTCCCTCTTCCTCCCTCGTGAACATCAGAGCTTTGGCACAGACGGACGGGCGGGCGGGCGGCGGTCCTGAGCGGCGGCGGCGCTTGGCCCCGTGCGGGGGGGGGGGGCGGCCCTGCACCCTGAGGTGGAGGAAAGCGGGACTTCCCAGCGCCCGCTTTGTTTCCCATTGCTGCTTCACCGGCGCACAGACGTGCAGAGGGCTCTCCTCTGCTGTAGTCGTAATGCGCTGTTTCATCTCCCCTGCGCTCATGCACACAAGCCACGGACAACTTTTGTCTCTGACAGAATCAACGACGCAGAGCTTCAGGCGTGCAGCGGATTGTTGTCTCAGTAGTTCTTATCTTTGTGGTGTATCGTAGTCACTTAAGGCAGTAATGTTCTTTTTTTTTTTTTTTCCCCCTTGCAGCGAAATGCTCCTACAGGGGGCAGACCTTTTCTGAAGGCCAGCGCTTTTTATCCCGGAGCTGCAGGGAATGCAAGGTAAGGTGTAAACATCCAAGGCCACACTTCTGGCACCAGTATTGTGTCTGCAATCAAACACAGCACGCAGCACTTCCCTTTCATGGTAAAAGTGCAGTGATTATTAGCGGCAGACCGCTCTGTGTGTTATTCAATTAGCCAGCGGGCCCGAAATTAGTTTTTCCTCCGTCCCCCAATCTGCTCAATCTACCTTTTTTCCCGTCTCTCTAATGGGGGGGAGGGGTTGCCAGGTAATTAGCAGGAATATGAAACACACCAACACAAAGGCCCGATTTGAACAGAAGCTTCATTAACGTGTGGCTCATAATTAGAGTCGTTTTTTTCCAATTCACCATTGAGCCGAGGTTTAGCTTTTTCACTGGGGAGGCATTTATCTTTAAGGGGGAAGATTTGCATGTTTTGCATGTAATTGTTTGCAAAGATTCCCTTTTTGTTTACGAGGGCTCAGGCAATTCAAAACATCAGTAATTTGAGCAATTACATCCCACCTCCACTCCCAGATTTGAATCCAGATTTGAACCCAACTCGGCGACCGAAGGGGAAGTTCGCTTCCGGGGCTTTCAGGGGGTCTCTGATTAGTATTTACCAGCATGTATGTATTTGTATTTCCATGTCATCTCTTCATGTAGTGGGAAAAACATCAACGAATACAGGCTTTGACATATGGAGGGAACAGAAGAAGAGACATCTTGATTATATAACACAACAAATCCTATAGGGGCTCTGTCGCCTGTACAACACACAACGCACAATACGCTGTGCCATGTGGACGGATTAGTGGCACTCAGTAGCTCAAATTTCACCAAAAAAAACAATGCTGAAATGTTTTTGGCTCATCCGTCAGTACTTTCTGCTCGCCATCCTTACTCAGGGATGAACTGATTGCAATTTGGTGGTCAAAGGTCAAGGTTACTGTGACCTCGCGTTCAGCACTATATTGTGACGATGATATTGTAGGAACAACTGCAGGGAATGAAAATAAAAAAAAGTGATGCGAACAATAACAACTTAAGGTTATCTTAAACGTGTTAAAACGTGGTAATCAGACCTCCATGTGACTTCACAAACTGAGAGTATCCTGAAATGTCACACAAATGTTGGGATGAATTGATGAGGTTGTGACATTTTGTACAGACACGGATGCAAACTGAATTTGGTCCGGTTGGTGGAGGTGAATGTGGGTTTTAAATCATTACCAATAGAATCACCTTGGACTGTGATTTTTAAGTATATTTTATTTCCGTTGTTGGTCTTTGGTCGCTCCGTCTCGTATCTATCTGCTGTTCGGTGCAGGACATCCAGCTTACGACACAAGGAAGCGGCTCGCATGGTTCCTAGAATAGCCCGGCATTGAAGGAGGGTTTGAGTCAATATTTCCGACCTTGAGACGTCTGATCCAACAGAGCAGAAGGACTGCCTGCTATTTGTTTTAACGGCAGCAGCGGAAGAGGACACAGTGTTCCATCTCTTTGTTTTCCAACCTTCAGTGGCGCCTGTCCTCATCCCACCTGCTATCTGTATTCATGCCCTCCTTTGTAGAGCCATCCCACCGGCAGCCTTTTACAGATATCTCACAGTATTCTCTTTGTTTCACATCTGGAAGCATCTTTTAATTTCCCGTGATGGTTGGATACATTTCAAAATGCAATGTCATCCTCCCTGTTATTTATCTTAAAGGGGTCATAGTAGGACTTTGATTGTTAATGCAGCTGTCTGGCTTGTCTACCATCCCCCAAAAGCTTCTTTTTATGATATGTGTAATTAATTAAAACTAAATAATACAACTTTTGGGGATGTTCTGGGGTTTGCGTTTCAGACAGAAAGGGAAAACAGGGATATTTACACAGACAATAAAAAAAAAGATGTGTTTTTGATGTCTTATATAATATTGTAACTGGCATTATATAGCTCTACCCGTAGGCCTTTATGAGAGGAGCCGAACATAAGAGGAGAAAAGCTACATTAGCAAAACATTTAAAAAGAAGCCTTTTAAATGTCTAGTATTAAAAATACAGACATACAAAAATTATTATTGCATTAGTTGTACAGTCCATGAATTGCATTAATATGCATTAAACACAATATGAAATATCCATGAAATGTGTCACTCAGGGGTCGTTAGTTGGATGGCAACCATACAGGCTGGAATCTAGTAACTAACAAAGGGATTTGTTATTTACTTGCACAGCGCTTTTCTAGTCTCACAAACACTCAAAGCGCTTTTTTCAAACTCCAGATCCCCCGTCAGTCTGTTGTGGGCAGTGTGACCATGGAAACAGCTCCCTGGAGAGCCCGGGAATAAAGTTCTAAAAGCAATAATAACATAGCAAAATGTTAACTTACTCCTTCGGAAAACTTTAACCGTTATGTAACGGGTAACAGGTTATTATTCCAGGGAAATAGACACAAGGAGATGTGCGTCTGCTGCTGTGTCCTTCAAAAATGCCTCAAAGTCAATTGACACCCTAAAGTCAATTTTGATTACATCCAATGTGAACACCGGACCCCGAGGCGGAACATTATTTATTTTTTAAAACAGCATACCAGAAAAAATAGGTTATATGGATGAGCCGTGGGGTGAAGTTTTCTACTGTGAGTGATGGTCCTGGAACAGATCCCACTCTGTCATTTCATTCATCAAAAGGTGTGATCGTTCTGGTGAAAATCTTGTTTAGTGCACAGACCTTCACACGTTCGACCCCAAGCGTTAAAATCGTAATGTTTTGCTTCCGCCCTGTCCTCCCAGAACGGCCTGATGGTGAAAGTCACGGAAACCTGCCCCGAGCTCAACTGCACCGCCGCCGAGCAGATCTTACCGGACGGCAGGTGCTGCAATGTGTGCAGAGGTTTGTCTTCCTTCTGTCTTTTGGACAATACGACTAAAACCTCACATGTTAAGAGGTGAGAAAAAGAAATGAGGGAGATGACGGATAAAAGAGAAGAGAGCGGAACGAGAAGTTATACTGGGGGGGGGATGATGTATAGAAGAAGAGGACAGTTTACACAGTAAAAGCTACTTTTTAAAGATCGATGGTTACATTGTCTCTTCCATTAAGCCCTCATGTACACACACACACACACACACTCATTTACCAATCATCTACTGGGCTCTCCACCACTAGTCAATTGGCAACTAGATCTCCACACAGTGTTTATGCCCTTCGGTTTTTACTGAAATGGAAAAAAAATCCAAAAGATTTTACAGAAGTTTTCAGTTTTTCCGTTTCAAAGGCCAGCGCCATCTTCGTTTAAACGTGATCGCCGGTGTTATTCCCAGCACACGTTCACCTTTCCGCGTGTCCGTCCGCCTGCTCCCGTGTCGCACGTCACATTTCGTCGGGTCTGTTTAACACGGGTTGAAGTGTCAATCCCTCGCCGCAGCTGATTAGGGTTCTATTCCCAGCAGCGCCATATGTTCGGATAGATAATAATGTAAACGGGGGTGGTAAGGGGAGGGGGGGCACTAGTGTCTCCTTCACCGCTGACTCCCGTCAAAGACGACGCTTCCCCCGTGACCTTGAAATCGCGGCGCGGGGCTGGCTTTATTTTGGCGGGTGGCAGCTGTGCTCTTCTTGGATTCCAAACGGTCATTGACAGAAAAGCGTCCGCGGGCACCTCTCGGACCACCGCTCACTGACGCGTCCTGCAGAAGAGAGTGAATTAGCTCCGCCGCACTCCCAGCCGGCCACGAGTAGCTCATTAAGCATTTCATCCGTCTCAAGATAAGTGTTCTAGAACAGGAAGCGCTTTTTGAAGCCCCTGGGTTGGATGTTCAGCGTCCTTTGGGGGGGGCCGGGCCGTCTGTCAGTTCCCTTCACAGCTGACGGAGCCGTGTTGTGAACGTCACGTATGTCCCCTTACATGGGGTCCGCGTCGCGGTCATTTGGTCGCAGTTGGTTCTTTTGCCGAGTGTCGTAGTGGCATCGCACACGCAGAGCTTCTACAAGCAGCGCTGCAGAGAGCGACTCCTCTGCTCCGTTGGCTGGATTGATGACCTCCTGTGAGACACGAGCAGCATGTTTTGTGTGCGCTTTTATTTTGTATTGTTAGTGTGTGTGTGCATGCTGTCCCGAGAGCCGGTCATCTTCTTTTTTATTTTTTTTTTATTTTTTTTTACCATTGCAGCAAAAATGCACTGCAGTCATAAACCTTCTCCTCGTACAGTCCCAAGCAAACAGAGGCCTTCTTTTCCCTTCTCTTTCAGGGTACGACTTCTGCGTAGAGGGACTCGTTTGTGGCGAAAACTCCGACTGTAAAAACCGGAATACTAAAGCGGAGTGTGAATGCAGGGCCGGATATGCCTCCATCCACGGGGACTCGACTTACTGCGAAGGTAGGACCGCGCTTTTACCAGCTCGAGCTGAGCCGGCGTTCATGCGACCAAAATAAAAAAATATCCAGTAACTCAGGATGTAAAAAAAAAACCTTTGGCTGGCTTCATGGACGGCTACCGTGAGGATTTTATCGAGGCTGTTCTTACAATTTTGTTCCTTCTATCTAATCTATATTTTTAATGAATTGATAAACTTCCGTTTTATTCTCGTGTGTTTACAAAGTTTTTCTAGATTATCAATGCAAGAAATATCCAAATCTTGAAGAAGAAAATGTAAGTGATAAGCTTTCATTTGTCGTCTTATTCTTATTAGCAAGCTCTGCACGCCGTCGCTAGCAGCAGGCGATGATGGACGGCTGCTGTCCAAATAGTCCAAAACTGAGCCTTTTTGCAGATTGATCTTCTGCTCGTTGGCCATATGTTTTGATAAATCGCTGGTGTTCCCTCCCTTACTTGTCATGGGGTTAAGGCTCAGCATGTAATGGAGTCAAATGTAGCCACTCCGTGGAGCTTTTTCTTCCCTCTGCCATGGGGCGTGTCTCAAGCTGTACCGGGAGTCGGGATGTGTGTGTGTTTCAGAGTGAGCATCCCCAGCTGACAGTGTGTCAGCTTTTAATGCATTGTTTTCTTTCAAGAGCACGTTCGTATTGGTCGTGGGCCCCAGACTGAGATCTCTAATGACCTGACATTGACCCGCAATGAGCGTATGACATGATGGTGACCGATGAGGGAGAGCGAGCGTCGGTGTGAGAAACCTCTGTGGTCAAGCGGCGTCAACCTTTTAACATTGGCACGCGTGTTGGGAAATTTTAGGAAAAATAGCAAGATCTGTGGAACACTGATGTTGCACATGTGAACATTTTAGCAATTCTTCAGGTTGTGAAGGGCAGAGACTCATTGATCGACACTTAAGAGCCCTGAAAGGGCCAGAGGATCTCTGGAAAATCGTTAAGAAATCACTTGACACGTGCAATCTCGCAAAAATCTCTCTTAAATGCGTATTTAGTGTCAATCAGTAGCCTATTCATTACTTAAACTGCACAACAGTGTTTAAAAAGCACAGACAGGTGCTGTTGCAAATGGTCTGCAGTGCAGATGTTGCGTAGTTGAGAAAACCTGGCGTTGAAAGGCATTTACATGGTGAGACAGAATTTCTGCATTGGGACTATTTAATTGCATGGTCGGCGTAGACGCTGTTGTAGGGCGCAGTGGTTGCATGGGTTAGTGGCTGTGAGGGTGGGCTGTGGGATTAACCATCGCAGCGGCTTGGATCCACGAAATCTTTTCTGTCTATATTGCACATTGACTCTGTAAGACTTGAGAAGGAGCTCCATGGGGGGGGAGGAGCACCCCCACCCCCCGGTGTCCAGCGGGTAATTTGCACACTGGGTGAGGGTAAAGGGTAACTTCCATTTCAGCAACTTAAATTTGTTCATTAAATTACCCTCGAACCTCTGGTTCAAGGAGCTTTGCATTTTTTGTCCACTAATGGTCTTTAACTTTCCTCTTGGCTATTTTCCAAAGGCTGCCATTGGCTTTTGGATACCAAGCCATTCATTTCAGTTAATTATTTAGAGACTTGTCAGTGATTCATTTTCATCTAATAATAATGCGGTTGAGTTTTATTGTTCAGCTCTCTCCTCTGATAGCTGATAAAACCCCAAAGACAAACAATACCTATACATAGTTGAACGATACAATTGTTCTCCTTTCTTGCATTAAGAATTGACATCTTCTTAATTGATGTATTGAGCGTCTGAAATGCCTAATGCCAATGAGTTTGTTTTTTTGTTGCCTTTTGGCTCATGAAATGTCCACTGTGTTTGTGGAACAAGTCCACAAGCTACAGATGCACACTGTAAAGTCATGGTTTGCTTTTGGAAGATGGATTCGCATACGGTGGGCGGGTACCACCCTGGTGCTGTCAGCTTGTTGTGAATCATTTGCTGATGCTTCGGTCAAACTTTAGGTATCATTTCATATAGATCATCGACAAATCTGCAGGGTCTCTTTTAGGTATGACTGGAATGCACCAACAAGGATCATCATTTGTTTAAGCACAACACTAATTCACACTAGATTACGCTTGAGTCTGTCACATCAAAACTTAAACCTCCTAATTTACTTGCGCTTTATCATGACTGTATTTTTTAAATAGATGTAGATACATAATCAAGTCCCTAGAAGAACATTAACGGACAAACTCAACCATTGAAGTTTCCCGATGCTGATACAGGTCCAGCAAGGACTCTGATGGAGCAGGACGATCAACTAAAAGTCTATTTTTTTTCCCTTCTGTCCTCGTTTTTGAATCCATTATTTTGCCATATGGCTCAAATTAATTCAGCCAGGATTTTGTCAAAGAAAAAGAAATGAGTTTCTCTTCCAAGCTATCCTGCTTAAAAGTGTTTTTTTTAGATAGTTAGATAGCCTGTTAGCCAGCAAACCATAATAGGGCCATTTTAAACTTTCTATAGCAAATGTACACATATAGTTCTAAACTAGAGCATGGATCGGGCCGACTTTTTCTGTCCGAGAGAGACAGAGTTGGGCCCGAGTCCGACCCAACGTTTTTTTTTTTATAAATAGCTTGCCTTTATTAAACTCAGGCATCAACAGATAAATATACTCGCTCAAACAAACAAGCGCTGTTAAACACACGAGCACGTTGAAAATAAATTATATACAACGCAAAAACGGAGAAATAGAATACACACGACACAAAACTATGTACATTTTAAATATAGAATGTTCAATGCCTTATCGCGCTGATGTGTCCGAGCCCGACCCGAGCCCGACTATATTTTCTAAATATTTATCCGAACCCGTCGGGTCCTGACGGGTACCGACAGGCTCGGGTCGGGTATCCACCCTCTATTCTAAACATGCTCACATTTTGATTGAACACTTTTATTTGGGTTTACATCAATGAATTTGTATTTGGGGTCGTCGTGGCGCAGGGGTTGCGCCACCAACAAGGTTGGTGGTTCAATTCCAGGCTGCCTCATGTTCCATGTCAAAGTGTCCCTGAGCAAGACACCTAACCCCTAATTGCTCCCTGGGCAAAAATGTGAAAAAGCCATGGGTTTAAAGTGTAATGTAAGTCGCTTTGGATAAAAGCGTCTGCTAAATGACCTGTAATGTAATGTATTTGTTCAACAGAGCTCCACTTTATTTTAAGTCTTGCTAAATTCTGATGAAAACCTGATGGTGCGTGTTGGGGTTACCTTGCCCGAGGGTGTCGGCGTGCCGATTGCTGGCCCGTGCTGAGAGTCGACTGAGGGTACCTGTGATGGATCTAATGGCCTTGTGTTATTAAGAAGCTCGGGCTCGGCAGTCGGATTGAAGGATTTGCTTGATGCTCGCCGCGGTTGTCTTTGGGACGCAGCCAGAGCCTAAACTCGCTAAACGCTCTGAGAGCCGGGCGGTCGCAAGCCACCCATCCAGCGTCTGGCGGCCTCCGTGTTTGATTTGAGTGGTAAAGAGGTTTATCCAGAAATCCACTCCAACCCACTCCGGTCCGCCACCGTACGAGTGAGGGCTGGGACACGCTGATTGTTAGATCAACTATGTAAATTGGGAAGCTACGGCTCTACTGGCTGTGGAGGCATTATCCATGTTTGGAGGTGGCTCCCTTAAGGCAGCTCTAACTTCTATTGTGATTGGATTAGCTATAATCCTGCTGTACAGTATGGTGATATTCAATATAACATGTCTCACGTAGCACACTCCGGTATCCCCTCCTTTGTTTCATTTCAGTAATAAACAAAGCCCATCAGTCTGGGATAGATGTTTCACAGAACAATTTAATTGCCTCGTGCATTTTATAAACGGGAGATTATGTCTGGCTGTGGCCCTAAATCGCAATTAAATGTGAGCATTGTATCCACATAAATGTCTTTATGTGCAGCTGAATGCTTGAGGATGAGATTATTTACTTGTACTAAGAGAGGTGTTTAAAGGGGCACCAGGAGATTTAAACAGAGACTTCAGTCCGGTTGTTGCTGGGCGGCATACCGGTTCAAACTGTATGAGATTTCTCACGTACCGCGTACCGGTGTTGCGCCACAACAACTCGTGGCGTTGCTTTTTCAGCAGGCGGCAGAATTTATTTTTACACGTTTTCGTGGTCATCAATCTGAGCTATTTATATTTGAACAACAATGAATAACCCACAACAAACACTCTTTAACAGGGTAAAACTCCACGACACAACAGCTTGTGACACATTGTTACAATTTGTAACACTAATAATTATACATTTATAAAAATGACCCCAGCAAACTGCATGCTGGGTACAGCTCACAACAAGAAGTAACTCTGTTGCTACATGAAAACACGGAAAAGAGCGAAACAGGAGGAACAACAAGAGATGCAGCAACACAACTTGTGCCCAAGAGAGGAGCTGTGTCTGTTTGGAGGGTTTTTGGTTTTGGAAAATCCCACGTAAGTTCCGTTAGATCGAAAAACGATTTATTGCAAAGTCTGTCGAGCGTCTGGTGGCAACACCAGCAGCCACAACAAGCTAACCAGCTAACACGCTAACAAGCTAACACGCGAGCAAGTTGGCCAGCGAGGGGCGAACAGCTGTCCTTTTCGGGGTCAATGAATTAATGTGTTTACTTGAAAAAGCCATACCGTCACGTACCGGGAAACCGTTAGAATCTTTCTAAATACCGTGATGTGGATTTTTGGTCACACCGCCCAGCCCTAAGTCCGGCATTCACTCATTTCATGGGGCCACAATTGTGCTCTCCCTCTTTTTGGTTTTACAAAGGTTCTTGGACTGATTTTAAATCCCCTGAAGGCCTATTTTGCTCATTTAAATAGCATGTCTTGTAATGCTTAGTAAATCTGCACAATAGACAATCTTTCAAAAAACACTGACAAAAAAACATCCATCAAATAGATTCCCCTTTTCTATTGAAAATGCATTTTATCTTATGAAGATTGGGCCTTTCATCCATTAGTGAGGCGGGGGTTCAGTTCACGGAGTTGTT